CTCAGTTTGTTTCCTGCGATTAAGAATTCCTCATATCAGTGAGATCATATGATACATGTCTTTCTCTGTTTGACTTATTTCACTCAACATAATACTCTAAAAGAGAACTTTTAAACTAGTAGATCACAGGATGTATAATGGCATACATTAGTGTATATGGTATACATTAGCACTGTGTAGATTATTGTAGCAATTGGTAATAGTGGGGCAGGGGAATTATTCTTGCTACATCATCTTTGATCAGATGAGGCAGATGGAACAGGATGTAGAAAAGAGTGAAACAAAAATACTTGATTAATGTTCTCTTTTGCTCTTCTTCAGAAAGAACATTTTTTTCTCTGTAGGGAATAAGCATATAACAGGATGGTTCCTGACAGTGTAGAGCATAGCACTTCATCCTGTTAAAAGCAACAAAGTGACGGGTATTTCTTGCAATAAACTGTTCCGGAAAGCCTGTTTATTTCTGATGTTTTTTGTTTGTTATCTCAAATTACTTCAAGCATACCTTTCTTCCTTTGAGTCCCTCTCCCCTGCAGCTCAGCAAAGTAATATTCTTGCCGAAACCCCTAGACAGAATGATGCTCCTGAGGCTAAGGACCTGGTTCTGTTGGTGGTCACGCCCCAGAACCACATGTGGAGACCTCACGTGTTCAAACCCAGAAGCCCCACGTGCAGCTGCTGTGTGGAGTGTGGTAGGCAGGCCGAGGGGCTCAGGCGGTGCTGCGGTGTCTCCTGGGGTCGCCACCCACACTCTCAGCATGCACAGGTGCTCCAGGATCAGAGCCACGGTTTCTCCGCCTGTAAAATGAGGATAATGTTGCTCCGTATCTCCTGGGGTTGTGTGGAAGATCGTGTGAAATAAGGCATAGCAGATCCTCGGTACGTGGCCTGGACTTAGATGATACTTGGCGTACCAGGCACCGTGCAGAGCACTTTGCTCATATTTACTCATTCCCTCCTCACACCCTTGCAAGGGGGATACTCCTGCTTGAATCTTGCTGCCGTGAACACGTCCTTCGCTTTGTCCCGCACGCGTGTGGTACTGTGGGAGTCCCTCCGGCGTGGGTCCCAGACGTGAGACCATGCCGTGGGACCTGCATCTCCTCCCCTGTGCTGTTGGCCACAGGACCCACCGTGGGGGACGTTGTGCACAAGCACCGTTCCCAAACCACCTTCCCTGTCCTGTGGACCATGGAAACAAAGCGGTGCTTCTGCATCCAGACGGTACTCTTTCTCATGGAGGTGCACATCTCTGTTGCTCTTTCCATCCTCCCTTCTTTCCAGTGTGTCTCTGGTCATTTAAAGGGACATCTCTTCTGTCTCAGCCCACTTCATGCGATTTGTGAGTGCTCCCCTTGCCCCCACCAAGAAACACCTTTGTCATGGCTGTCATGTGTAGAAATACTTCTAGTGACATAGCTAAAATAAGAAATAGAAAAGCCAAAAGTTCTGATGCAATAGGAAGCAAAATAAGGAAGTAGGGGCACTGGTCCTTGAAGCCCCCAGACATCCCGTTTTGAGTGTTGAAAGCCCTCTCTCTTTACTGCCTGTGTTAGAAGCGTTGATGTGATGCACGGTCTCTGCTCTCCCAGCATTGTCTCCTCTTACCACAGATATTTTTCTTGACATCCCAATTTCAAGATCAAAAAAGGATTATTTCGTCATAGTCTTTGGTTTAATTGATAGAAATGCATGTTTTCCATTGTTACTGCACATACATAATGATAAGTGATTGAGGTTAAATATTAGCTTTGAACAGTTTCATCTTGTAATAGGGAACAATTTGTTTTTTTCGTTTTTTTATTTTTTTAAGATTTTATTTATTTTTTTGACAGAGACAAAGTGAGGAGGAACACAAGCAGGGGGAGTGGGAGAGGGAGAAGCAGGCCTCCCGCCGAGCAGGGAGCCCGATGTGGGGCTTGATCCCAGGACCCCGGGATCACGACCTGAGCCGAAGGCAGTTGCTTGATGACTGAGCCACCCAGGCGCCCCTATTTTTTTTGGGTTGTTTTTTGTTTTTAAAGATTTTATTTATTTGAGGGAGAGACAGAGCAGGAGTGGCAAGGTGCAGAGGGAGAAGCAGGCTCCCCAATGAGCAGGGAGCCCAACAGTGACATGGGGCTCCATCCCAGGACCCTGGGATCATGACCTGAGCCAAAGGCAGACGCTTAAGCACTGAGCCACCCAGGTGGCCCTAATCGGGTACTATTTGTAATGGTTTATTTAGATAAATATTTTCTAAGTTCTTGTTAAAGTAATGCTGAGACTTTAATCATCCTGTTTCAATAAAAATTCATTGAGAACCTAGTCTGTGACAGGCTATCCCTACACAAAGATGAGCGAGCGTGGTGAGTAACAGGTTAGTGGTAGAAAGGAAGTGTGCGTAAAGGATGACAGCACAGAGAGGCAAGTGCTGGAGCGGAGGTCTGGGGGAGGTGTGTGCACACAGGAGACTGTGCCATTCCTGGGAATGGGGCGGGGGGGCGCACAAATCTGTTGGACACAAGACGCACCTGGAAGAACTCTCCTGTTGGTCACCCTGTGACCTCACAAGACTTCCCAAGTGGTAGTTCACCAGATTCTGTAAGAAATGGGTTTTCACTCAACTGGATATAGATACTAAACAACTCTGGCACAGAAAAGAAATATATGAAGACAACCCTGAGGCGTTCACAGTGGAAACTGAATTACTCCTTCCTGTCTATAGATTAAAAATCCAATAGTCCTGTCAGCATTGCTAAAATGATAGAGATTACTGAAAACACATAATATTGAATACGGCAACAGCTATAACATATTGAGGGGTTTTTTAAAAATGCTAACAACCAACAAGGTCTGAAATTGTTGTATTAACCCTGAGAAATCCTAGTAAACAAGCAGGTGTTCCAATGGCCTTGACTTTCTCCTCCCCCAGGCTCCTCAGTGGTTAGAGAGTGATTCTTGCCAGAAATGCGAGCAGCCCTTTTTCTGGAATATAAAGCAGATGTGGGACACAAAGACACTGGGGTTGAGACAGGTGAGTAGCCAACACTGAACTGTCACTGGGTTAATCACGTATCTTGTTCTTTATGGTATTAATCTGTCATTTGTATGGAATCGTACTTTTTCCTATAAGTGCTGTGAACTCCTGCATTTTTGAGATCACTGTCTCTGTGTAATGAACCATGAGTGGGACCTTTCCTGAGGCCAACGAGATTATTACTTAAGTGTTCCATCCCTTGTCCAGCGTTGGAAAAGCAGGATGCACGGAAAACACTGAGAGCCTATTTGTAAATACATGAAAGATTCTTCAGTTAGGAGTATTGCTTGTTCAAGTCAGTGTTCTGTGCTAAGAGTGAAGCCGGTCATATGATTGTAAACCTTATGCTTTCACTATTTGTTAAAAATGTAACAATTTGGCCCTCACTGGAATACTGTGACACTAAGAACTTTAACTTATTCACAGATTGTTCCATATAAGTGTACCTGGAACATTTTTATTAAGCATGTTTCTGGTACTCTTTTTTTTTTTTGATTAAAGAAACATGTCCCAAATAGCCTGTAGATTTCAGAGACACCCTTATCATTAGGTATTCATGTAATTCTAAAGTTCTACAAAAAACATATTTCTATAGCAACCTTGAAGGTAGCCTACTCCAATTGAATATGAATTGGTGCAGGTAAGTAATAAAGAATGCTAATTTTATTTCTTTGCACCTCTATGAGGGATTGGCCTAAAGTCTGTATGTGTTAATAAACTTTCTTTAATGTTACTTACAAAGCTACTCTCCCACAAGGTCTGATAGGAGACCGGCAGGCAATACAGGGGAGATCTTAGCATTCCTATAACATTCTGATGCTCAGAAATGGAACCCGAATTCCATGGTTAGCCCGCTTCCCGCAATGCATGTCTGCTGATAACTAGTGCATTATAATTGGTGGGCCAGATAATCCCTGCTTCTACGGGAAACATGAAGAAATTAATTTCCATCTTATGAATTAACTACTAGAAGAGAGGGGAAAGGTAGGGGTCACTAAACTTTGAGTGTTAAAAGGATATGACAAAATTAATAACTGGACTGTTTTGAAGGTTCTTGAAGCTTATGTCCAGAGTGATTGAAAGATTATAAGAAATAGTAAAACATATGATTATGGATATTTATTTCTTAAGGAGGGCATATTACATTATTTCAAAACTTTTCTCTGACATAGGAATAGATTTTTTTTCTGCAACCTCTAGTCGTTTGAGCTCCTAAATGAACTTGAAGTTGGTTTTAATAATGCTGTTTGTAGACATCTAGACAGATAATATGAATGAATAAAAAGCAGTGTTTGACCAATAAGACAAGGACCTTTGGAAATCCTTGACAAGTGGACACTGCCTTTTGTGTTAACGGGTACATTGAATGGGGTAATTATAATTCAAGGCGACTCCTCTGCACTCCCACCCCATGCCCTAAAGGGAAGCCGGGAGCACCACAGCAAAAGCTAAACTCCCCCTTTTCCTCCTTCCGGTGGTCCTGAAGCATCACTGCCGTAAATGTGGGCAGGCTGTGTGTGGGAAGTGCAGCAGCAAGCGCTCCAGCTACCCTGTCATGGGCTTCGAGTTCCAGGTCCGCGTGTGCGATTCCTGCTACGACTCCATCAAAGACGAGGAGTGAGTGTTTGTGGGTCTTTGTCTTCCTGGGTGCCTGCAGGGAGGAGAGCCTGAGAAATGACAGGATGTATTTCTACCCACCTGCCGTCTCTTCCCAGCTTCATAAATCGTTCCTGGGGAAGGAATTCTGTCCTCGCTGTATGGCCTCAGCGAGTTTCTCCCAAACAGTGTGAGGAATGACGTTGCTAAGACCAGTGCGGCAGTTGAGCAGTGGGCATCCCTGAGCCCCCGCAGGGTCAGGGCCAAAGCGCACTGATGCAGTGGCAAGCTGGTCCATCTGGTGCTCCAGCCTTGGCTCACACGTGCCTGGGAATTTCATTTTCTTTGCCTTCCCTTTGAATCATCTTAGAAAGCGCTAGCCTGGCAAACCTTGGCCGAGGCCCACGTGGAAAGGCTAGTCGGCATCACTGGTGTCAGTCCATGCGCGCTCATGAGGAGGCCGGGGCTGCGGGCGCGGGAGCAGAGTGAGAGCCAATGCCAGGAGCCACTCCCCGAGGGCAGAGAGGCTTCGGGGAGCCTGCAGCCTCCCCGTGAGGGTCTTGCCCATGGAGTAGGAGCTCCTGCAGTGCAGTTCCTCTGCACAATTAAAGGCCCTTGGTTTTTTGTGCAACATAAGGAATAGCATGGAGGACATTAGGGGAGGGAAGGGAAAAATGAAGGGGGGAAATCGGAGGGGGAGACGATCCATGAGAGACTGTGGACTCTGAAAAACAAACTGAGGGTTCTAGAGGGGAGGGGGTTGGGGGGTGGGTTAGCCTGGTGATGGGTATTGAGGAGGGCACGTTCTGCATGGAGCACTGGGTGTTCTACGCAAACAGTGAATCATGGAACACTACATCAAAAACTAATGATGTAATGTATGGTGATTAACATAACATAATAAAATTAAATTAAATTTTTAAAAAAAGGCCCTTGTCGTATGTCTAGGAATATACCAGCCTTTCCACTGAAAAAATAAAAATCCATTATTTGGAGAGTTTTGTCAAACCTTATATAAAACAATCTTGCAGCTTATCCTGACAGTTTTCCAAACTGTAGCCACATTTTTAGGAGTAAATTTTAACACTGTCATTGTGTTTCCTTTATGTTGCAAGTCAGCTCTCAGCGGTGTCTCTTTTCTCTCTTTTCTCTTTGTCAGTCGGACTTCTCTAGCAACCTTTCATGAAGGAAAACATAACATTTCCCACATGTCCATGGACGTTGCTCGGGGACTGATGGTGACCTGTGGGACCGACCGCATCGTGAAGGTAACCTGCTCGCGCGTCCCGACGAGCGTCCGTGTGCAGAGGGCTCCGTGATTGGGCTGCCAGCAGACGGCCGCTCATCCAGCCTCACTTTCTCATCGGCAGGCTTGCCTTCCCTTTTTATAAGCAGCCATGCAGCCTGAAGCGGGATGAAGACCCCGAGGAACACACTGCATGCTTGCGGGCGTCCCGCGCGCAGTGGCCACTCCTTCCGGGGGGGTTTCCTGCGCCATCTCCATCTCTCAGAGTCGCTGCTGGGGCCTAGCCTGACACCTGGGGGTTGCCATCTGCCCGGCGGTCCTGCCTCCCCAGCGGGTCAGGGCTTAGCCGGCCCCTGTCCCTGGTCATCCTTCCCCGGCTGGTGTTCCTCTCAGCCTGGACAGGTTTCCTAGTTGTAGGAAATAACCACACATTTTTTCATTAAATCCCTCGGGTCACTAATACAGAAACGAAAAGCAAGTGTTTTATACTGAGTACCACTCCAGAGTTGAGAAACTATGACACACTTTGTTTCATAGTTTTTTTTTAAATAGGGGCTTTTCCCAGTAGGCTTCTTACTAAAAGTGAAATTAAATTTATAGTAAAGCATCATTATTACAGCATTTTCAGGTGTCAAGATACCACTCACAAGCTTTTTTCACATTTTAGTGCACTAAGGGGTTCGTCTATAGATCTTGAGAAGGTTTTGTAGTGAAAGAATGAGAGAATGCGTTCTTTTGTCCCCTTTTCACGTTTAACAGCGGTTTGGTGTGAACTCTGCTTCTGGACCCTGTGATGAGCGCTGCTTTCTGGCGTGTTCTTTCTCTTGCAGATCTGGGACATGACGCCCGTGGTGGGCTGCAGTCTGGCAACTGGGTTTGCCCCACGTTGATCCGGGAGCTGGGTGAGGTCTGCACCTTCCCCGTGGCTCCCTTTACCAACGCAGCCCTTCCCCGTGGCTCCGCGGTCACAGTCACGGGAACGGACAGTAGCCACTAAAAAAACAAAGCAACATTTTTAAAGAGAAAAAAATGTAAGGTGTGTTTGGGGGCATTTGTGGAACTACCTGTGGGGACGAATATGGAAAAAAAGTTCATCTGTAGTGGTTCCCTGAGGAAAGGAATGACTTCAGTGAGACTTCCTCATGAACAGTGAGCTCACGTGTGCTCACGGAGTCATTTGGCAAATGAGAGTTTTAGAGGAAAAACTGTTGAACGAAAGTGTTAAAGCAGTTCCCAGTGCAAACACCCCTCCCCTCAGACTTGCCGGCCTTCCCCAGGCGCCTGTGGCTCTGTGGTTAGAGCAGGGATTAAGGGGAGGAGGACTTGCTGTCTCTTTCTTGAGGGGTGCAGGAGGACCCCAAGAACCCAGAGATCTCTCCTTCCCCACTGGCAGTATGAGAATCCTCTCTCCACATAGTGATTCTTCTTGAAGATCTCTGTTCTCGGCAGGTAGCACCATTCCCTGCACTTGGTATTTGGAGCGCTCATTTCCTCTTCCCGGCCAGCCAGTAAGCCAGGGGCCAGCCTTCCCAGTTGTTACTAAGTGAGCCGTAAAATTGCTGCATTAACCGAGGCGGCGCGCATCCTTCCCTTTCCCCCAAATGTGCTGTGAGGACAGAACGTTTTTATGGTGCTGTTAACGTGGGAGTCACACAAGCCGTCCGACTGTCTCACTGCTGTCAGGAACGACTCGGGGTGGTGAAGGGAGATGATCAGGCTGCTCCATGGGACAGCCCAGTCCCAAAAGGACGCATTCTGTCTGTAGTTCCATGATGATGGGCCCCTGCGGTATTGTGGCAGTTTAATAATAATACACCTCAGAAAAGAACTCCACAACTTTCCAAACTATGTTGACTTTTTGTTGTAAGGAGTATTATTAACATCTCATAGAAGGGAATTAGTAACCCAGAGCAGTAAGCGTTAAGCAGGTCCTGCGCAGTCATTCCTAACTCGTAAATTGCTTTCCTAGCCACTAGCGAATTCTCCTTTAGCAAATGGCATTTTAAAAGTTTTTGGCCACTTAGTACCAAGATGGGGAAGAGGTGGGGAATGGGAGAGCCTGTCTTTTAATATTCCCATATTTATTTCTTTGTTTTTAACCATAGTACACATACCTATTACTTTAGGGCTATGCAAGTGAGTGGAGAGAGGCCTACTTTTCTTAAAGACAAATTTTAAAATAGATAGCAACCGTATTTTTGTTAGTCTTACTAGTGGATATTGATAAAAACTCACTACTGCGTCACTGTGTTGGGATCATATCAAGACAGCATGGTTGTTATGTGTGATACCACGAAGGGATTGAATCTGTTTTTTAACAACAGAGAGGGACTATAATGTTTAAGACAGGTAATTAAACTAAGAGGTCTTACTAGCCAAGTGACACAAATAATAAGGAAAGGAGGTCAGGCACCTCATATTCTAGAATGATCTGCATTAAAAATTGACTTGCTTTCAGGAGTAAGACTGAAGGGTTTTGTTTCTCTGTGTAATTTTTGTTTTCTGTCACCTGAAAGAGGTGTTTCCTTTAAAAACTTCCTGTCAGTCTTTGCAAAACGTAGGATACTAATACAGGCTGGAAGGACACTGGGGGGATGGGATCCTACAGGGCAGTGTTGAGTGTTAGCTCTTGTTCAGTTAATGGTCCAGCTCACACAAAGGTGCTATCCTGGGGATTTCATGACGTCCTGAAAGGAAAATAGGATATGATCTGTTTCTTGCCATGTTGATGAGTACTGAACTGTGGTTTTGTTTGCCTTTAACTTCTGTAAAATGTGATTTTATGATGTCTGTGGTAGACTGAGCACAATTTCACACTGTAGCTTTTAGCCTTCTTTTATTTTAAAAAATTCTGAATGAAAAACCCAGTGTTCTAGAGAGAATATAAGGTTGTGAGAGCACCTCCTAAGGGGTTAAGCTAATATAAATCAAAGAGGAAAGGCATTATGTAAGGAAGAATTGGAGAGGGGCATCCGGAAAAGGAAAGAATGTTTCAATTAACTTTTCTCTGCACCAGAGCCTCCTAGCACTTTTCATTTTAAGAACTCATGTAGCGGGCTTGTCTTGTCTCTACTACACACAAGGGAGCAAATGGGGTAATATTTTTTATAGAGGTGGGCAAAAATTATTTTCTCAATTCTGCTGACTGGACACATAAGGACGATCCAGTGAGGCTTCTAGTTATTGCCTTATTTTGACTGTGTTACTCTTAAACCGGTCATTTAAAATAGCTCTTCAAGTACCAGTTCATGGTTTTTCCATTCCTGAATACTCAGCTAATTTCTACAACTAGGGATTAAGAAGTACAGAATGTTAGAGAAGATCCTTACGTTTTAGATCTAGTATGTCTGCAATAAGGAAATGTCAATTCTTCATTCAAGACGTGTTCTCAGATTGCCCTTTTTTTTTTTTTTTTTTTTAGTGCAAATGATAGAAACACCCCCATGGCATTAGCTGGAAACAGGTTATTCAGTATACTGTAAATCTCTGTTTACAATGTCCTACTTCTGTCCTGCTGCCTGGAGGATATGAATAAAAATAGTGCTCTAGAATGCCTCACTTGGTTCTCCCCTAAAGAATTCAATTTGCTTGTACCTACATTTTTAAACTGTTGAAACTGGCCTAAATATGTAATAAATTCCATAGTGACTCAGACCCGAGGAAATATTTTCTAAAATGAGGTTTCATTCAGTTACTTACTACTTCCATTACTGGATCTGGTGTCTTCTAAAATGTAAGGAACCAGTTACTATTAATGATAAACCATCTGCTCATTATAAATGTGAGGTTTAACAAATAAGTAATACATGCTCCATTTATTCAAGTGTCTATTGCTTAATTGTTAATTGTGAGCAGATTATTGAATGCCTACTCTGTTTTCTGCAGTTTACTATACAGTAACTCTTTGAGTAAATCGTTTCATTGTGCAACAAATTTATATTAGAATACAATTTAAAGTGTTTTACTCTATAGCCTTTTTGACTGGGGAAGCAAAGGGCAATGTTGATTAGTACATTTTGTCTTGTACTAGCTATGTTTCTATAAGATACGGTGCCCCGTGTATCCCAGAGAGTTAGAAAACTGTTCTTTTGCTCCTGTTTGTGGGTTCTGTTTTTGTGTTGTTGTGTTTTTTTTTGAGAATATACATATACAATAAAATGTTCCTTGCTTGTTACTCTGTTGCTTAATTTAGCTTTTGTTATGTTTGATACGGACATAGGGCAATAATAGTAACCACCATGTATTTAGCACACTCTGTGCTGAGTGCTCTACCTGCATTCTGCTGTTCAATCCTGGCAACACTTCCGCAGGGCATTACTGTCCCTGTTTTACAGGTGAGAAAACTAAGAAGATCCTGTCCGTCTGTCCATTTATCTGTCTGACTTGAAAGCACTTGCCTTCTCCATACACCTGCTTTCACGTGCTAGAGTGTAGTGAGTGTTTCCTGTAAGGGTTAGGGGTCAGGTATTATCTCTTTTGAAGTTTGTGAAGCCCCCAAGTCCAATTGCTCTGGATGTATAGGCTCCCCAAGTCACATGGGGACACCAGCATCTGTGCCCCAGTTCTCCACATCAGCAGCTCAGTTTTGTGAATAAACACAGGGTGGTTCAGACCCAGGAGAAGTTATTCCTTTGCTTAGCTGATAGGAAGTTGATTTCTTAGAAACCAGCATGGCAGTTTACTGTGTTTCTTCAAAGCAGTATAGCTTTATTTAATAAATAATATGTAATAAAATAATACATAATTAAAAAAGAATAAAAAGAAAATGAAAATTAAAAGATAATACCAAAAAGTATTAAAAAGATTTGTTTTAAGCCCTCTGTCCCACCACCCAGAGAAAACACTGTTAAAGCTGGGCTGTATGTCTTTCCAGTGTTTTTCTTAAATGCATGCATGCATCTGTAAAAGACACCTATGGGTACAGTTTTAAGGGGCTGTACTTCTCCCCCCACCTGATGTATTATGGATCGTTTGCCCGCATGAAAAAATAGAGCTCCACGGGAGCATTTTCAGTTGTGGTGGATGCGAGCTCCGTGTGGTCGGACCTGCGCTAAGGCCGCGGGTCTCCAGCGCCTCGAGGGTCGTTGAGGGCACGTGACTTGCTTTAGCCAATGAAGTGCGGGCAGAAGCGTTTAATGGCAGGTGAGAGGCTTACCCTCCATGGGTTTCCCACCGGGGTTACAGAAGTGCATGTTGACAGAGAAGATCCCGTGGAGCCCGACTGCCCTGGACCCACAGTGGACTTTGCATAGGAGATCAATAAATCTTTGTTGTTTCAATCCACCGAGGTTGCGTGAGTTTGTGCGTGTGCACGTGCGTGTGTGTGTGCCCTGCGGCATCACCTAGCCTGGACCGCAGTATCCCATTGTTCTGTTATGCGGCTAAACTGTCGAGTATTTTACCAATTCCCTGTTGAAGCTAGACCATATATTTTTAGGATATTTATAATTTTAATTAAAACACTAGAAATACTAAATTCAGCATGCTTGTATGTTCATCTTTGCCCACTTTTCCAATTATTTTCATAGGATAAATACTTCAACATGGGAATTACTAGGTCAAAGAATATGCATATTTTAAGTTTTTTATTCTTACTGCTAATATCTTCACACCATGCCAGCACATGAATTTTCTTCCTTTGAATAGGGCATAAAAAGGCACATCTTAATGTCTTAATATATGGAATTCCAGTTTATTAATTTACAATAAGAATTCTGTCTACCAAACAGACCATGTATTTTTTTTTTTAAGGTTTGTTTATTTATTAGAGGGCACGAGCAGAAGGGGCAGAGGGAGAGGGAGAGAGACTCTCAAGCAGACTTTGCACCGAGCACAGAGCCTGATGTCGGGCTTGATCTCATGACCCAGAGATCACGACCTGAGCTGAAACCAAGAGTTGGATGCTTAACCGACTGCGCCACCCAGGTGCCCCCAGACCACGTAACTTTAGGACAGTCTAGAGAGAACCCAAGTCATCACTGGAAGGCTGCTTAACAGCCAAGGACACAGAGGAGAAAGGTTGGCTAGATTACTGATGCCATCGTGAGAACCTGATGGGCTCATTGCCAAGGTTGCTGGACAGTGGAAATGCATGAGCAAGTTCTTGTTTCTGGCCTTCCCTTTGTAGATTTCATCTGGCTTACCATTCATCTGTAAAACACATGCTCAGGGGAGTGGTTCAAGTATTGGAGTTCCAGCCTTCCTTCCCTTCACTCTTCAGTTCCCTAAGGCTATACCTTAGATCTCTCTCTGTATCTTTGCACTGTACATGCAAACTATCCCTCAGAAGCCCATTACATATTGGTACATGCGGTCTCTCATGAGAGCAGACAAACACATTCTGGGCCCACCTTTAGTGTTGTCATCTATAATGTAGAGCTGGGGCCTGAGATGACCTCTCAGGTCAAACCCAACTGGGAGACTGAAGGTTCCAGCTCAGTCTGTCTGACCTCAAAGCCTATGCTCCTTTTTCTCTTACCCCATCCAGCTCGTTCATATTTGAGGTAATTTTAGATCCTGAGTTTTGACATTCTGGAGAAAGATATAGTAATAGACACTTGGTTACAGCATTAGCAAGGCAATGTGGTGTATTTTCCCACACCCAAAAGTTCCAGTAGACTCTGTGACAGATGTGACATTTAGTATCTTGCTGCAGGAGTCCTAGCAGCATTTATCAAATGGATTCCAAGTTGCACATGTGTGCTGAAAACAGGCAAGCTTGCGGACAAACCTCAGTACAAGCCTACGGGCTCTACCTTCCAAATGTATCCCAACATGGCCCCTTTGCACCATTGAGCTGCTATTACCATGGTCCAGTCCAGTGTTATCTGGATGATTCCATTAGCCTCCCTTTTTTTTTTTTTTTTTTAAGATTTTATTTATTTATTTGAGAGAGCGCATGAGCAGGGAGGAGGGGCAGAGGGAGAGGAAGAAGCAGACTCCCCGCTAAACAGGGAGCCTGATGCGGGGCTTGATCCCAGGACCCTGAGATCATGACCTGAGCCGAAGGCAGACGCTTACCCGACTGAGCCACCCAGGTGCCCCAAATTCCATTAGCCTTCCCAGTCTCCCTGCTCCTGCCCCTATCATCCTGTTCCCAACACGCCTGTTAAAACATGAGTCAGATTATGCCATTCCTGTGCACAAAACCCTCCCAGTTCATCCCACTCAGTCGAAGCCCAAGTTCTAAAATGGCCCATCATTCCTTCCCCGATGTCTGTGTTCTGGCTTCCTCCTATCTCCCCTCACAGTTCTCACTTTCCTCCTAAGTGCTATTGGGACGAGGCAGTTGTTCACACAATAGCATTGAGCTCAGTGTCAGGCATATAGTAGGTACTTAACAAATGATGCTTGTACGTGTACAGTTTGGGTACTATGTGCATAAATGAACTTGTGTGAATTCGTCTTAAGTTTGTGGTGGGAGGCGGCTGCCCCCCACACACCATCACCCCCACCCGTCACACACCACCTACCAAGCCACTTTTAAGTTTCCAGAGGCTGGGGGTGCCTGGGTGGCTCAGTCGTTGAGCGTCTCCTTCGGCGCTCGGGTCATGATCCCAGGGTCCTGGGATCGAGCCCCGCATCCGGCCGGCTCCCTGCTTCGCGGGAAGCCTGCTTCTCCCTCTCCCACTCCCCCTGCTTGTGTTCCCTCTCTCGCTGTGTCTCTCTCTCTCTGTCAAATAAATAAATAAAATCTTTAAAAATAAATAAATAAATAAATAAATAAATAAATAAATTTCCAGAGGCTGAAAGGAGCACCTGGAGGAAAGTGTAGGGAGGTTATAGAGAATACGTTACACAAGGGACATGATGAGATGTTCTTGTCTTCCTGCAACCTCAAACGCCACTTCTGGGTGTCTGAGCGTCCTAAGACCTACTTTAAGACAGCCCCAGTTCGCAGCTTCATGTTTGATGGGTGTAGAGGTTTTAATTATTTCTGCAAATTCTCACTCTTATCAAGTGGTGGGATTTCTGTTCCCCCCCTTGAATCTGGGCCAAACTTAGTGACCCACTGATAGGATATGGCAGAAGTGACTCTACAATGTCTTAGGCCAGATCAGAAGAGGCCATGTGGCTTCCACTTGGTTCTCTGGGGGAAGCCAGCCCCCTGAGACCTCCTGGTCAGCAGTGGAGCTGAGCTTCTGACTGACAGCCCACATGACTGCCAGCCCCGTGAGTGCCATCTTGGACATCGGCCCGGTTGAGCTTCCAGATGGCTGCAGATCCAGCCCACCACTGGGTTAGCAGGAGAGGCCCCAAGTCCCAGGTGAGACCCCAAGCTGCCCAGGTGAGCCCTTCCTGAATTTCTGACCCACCAAATTGTGAACAAAATAAAATGGCTGTTATAAGCTGCTAAGTTGTGGAGTGATTTCTTTCACAGCAACAGTAACCTGAGCAGTGGGCCACTGGACCCAGTTTCCCATCTGGGAGCCAAAGGGCAGAGCGCTGCCCCCTCCCACCACCTCCACACAAGAGAAGTGATATGAACTCGAGGCAATAGCGTAGCAGGGAGCTTCTTCAGGAGCAAGTTATTTTCCCATAAGGGTACTCGAAGGGCCTGTAGCCAATAAGTCATGGTCCTCCTTATTTTCTTCAGGCTTCCATGTGTCTGTCCACCATGGCCATCCTGCTGCCTCCACTCCAAATTGTTATTTGAGGTTTTCCTTTTGACCACATTGAATTTGGTTTGAACTAACCCAGCCTGGACTAAGCATATTAGATTCTTATATCGGCCATATTTAAGGGTGCTCACATTTTTCCATGTTTTTGCGCATTCTGTAAACACAAGCTGTGCACCGTGACTAGGGCATGGAAGGTTCTGAATTAACAGAATTTTCAGTTTCCAAGCACTGATGCATACCTATACTGTGTGTGATGTGTATTATTTCATACATAGTGCTTTTATTGACGTAACACCATTCATAGAAAAAATACTGAGTACTTATATATAGGTATTCTAATAGATTCTTAAAAGAACATTAGTGAACAAAACAGAGACCCCCACTCTTGTGGAGTTCACGTTCTTGCAGAGGGAGACAGACAATAAACCATAAGCCTAATAAAAAAAGATAAATTCTACAGTATTCTAGAAGGTAATGAGCGCCATGGAGAAAAGAAAAAGGTTCCTGGAAATGGAGATGCCTACGGGCAGGGGTGGGGGGCAGTTTGCCAACT